TAATGGCTATGAAACATTTAAAGGCACAAACAAGGTATGTTCGACTTGATCCAATGCATTCTTACTCGGAAGTGTTCCACTGTGGTGGTCAATGGGACACTGGGGAGTGAGAATACATAACACTTCACTTTTAATGTACACTTGCTGATTATCTGTTAATTTAACAAATGGCTGAATTTCAACCCACCAAATAAAGAGTGTGTGAAGGCTCCACAAACTGAAAAAACAAAACCCCACTCAAGCCTTAAGTTCAAACAAAAGATTATGAAGATAACATCAATGACTTAAAAGGAAAAGCAAAAGCAAAATGCCAGCATCAAAATCCAGTAAAACTCATAGTGAGCTTTTGTACAGATTGTTTAGGAACTTCCAGAACTGAATTACCCTTTCTAAATATAGTTAGCTGATGAAAAAGTATTACTTCAGACCATTGCTATCCCAACTAATCATTGACAAAAACAATGATCACAGAGATGATCTACACTCAAAAGTATTGGCCTTTGTCATTTTGTCACTACAGATGGAAGCGAATAAAGTTAACTTTTAACCATTACATGATATAAAAGACAAACAGGCTTGTTAATACAATTCACTACATTCAAGTCAAAGGGCTGGATCTTGATAAAGGCCAGAGGCAGAAATTCTGGTGGTGGCACTGTTCTGCAAAATGCTGTGCAAGAGCAAGTGGAAGACTTAGCGCAGGTGCTAAGCACGGACACATCTTGAGATGGTGTGCAAGGTCTTATGCACGAGACCGTGCAATGCACGGATCTTGTGCCAAAAGCTTCCAGCAAGCGGAAGTATGTCTCCAGCACCAAATTATTTCTTCTAGATAATGTGAAAGACTTACTTTATTCCTGTCCTGTACGACCAATACTTTCCCAGTGTGGACATCTAATACAGCACCTGTTGGAGAAAGAATATTTTCTGTATCCTCTGATTTTTAATGAAGAACCAATGATCGAATGTTATATTCAAAGCATTGGATGTTCTTTAAGGGGAGAGGGTGGAAATTAAGGGTGATTCTTTAGAGAAAAGATACCATTGGAAATGCCATCTCTCATGACGAAACCAATATAGCGATCACTTCCCCAAATCTGAAACAAGTGGCTCAGATGTTTCTTAGTTACAAGGCTGATGATCCACAACCCTGTCAAAATGTGCCTGCGTGTGTCTGATCTTTCCACTCTGCATCAGTTTTGCCCTCTGTCTCTCTGCCCACGTTACCCAAAATTTAAGGCCTCTTAATGGACAGGCAGTGGCTTCTGAATTCCGTGGCCACTGACTTCCGTGGGCTGCCTGCCTGTTCCATTTTAATCCTGCATTTTTGAAGGACAATGAGATTACATTTATGAAGGCATATATACTCCAAAGCAAAAGTATTTCCATATGCACGCTTAATAAACTAATCACACTTTTATGTGTGGGAGGAATGGTTTATAAATGAAACAGCAACCCTGATGTAACATTCTGAAAGGACATTCCTTAGGAAATTAGTCATAAGTCTTCCAGCCTATGCCATACAATGATATGACTTTGCCCTTCTGGTACATGGTTGGCAGCGTTCTAGTTGGTGTGGAATCTTATTTAGGATGCAAAGCAAAAGCTCAGATTAATTTGGAAGTTACCTGCTAAGAATGTGCTTGGCTTTTGTGTTACAAAAGGAGTATCAGATTTCTATGACACTAAGTGTGAATGAGCAATCTGGCCAACGAATTCTGCACCGGCGGAAGTTTCTGAACAGTCTTCAGAGGCAGCCCTACATATAACACGTTGCAGTAATTTAACCTAGAGGTTACCAGAGCATATTGAAAGCATAATACTATTTTTAACAACATAGTGAAGTGTATGACTCACCGGACATTTTACTTTTGTTTCAATTATAATGTCCTTTTTACTTTTGTGTTGTAAAAAAGTTTGTGCGAAAAATAATAACCATACAGTATGTTATTATTAAAACCTTCCTGTGCATTGAGTTACTGCAGAAATAGGCAGGAAGTAGCGTTTGTTTGAAATGTAAGTGCTTTAGGGCAAATCTAACTACCATTATATTTCAAAAATCGCTGAGGACAACAGGGTCTCTTTAAGAAACTGAGATTGGCATGCATACCCTGACAGTGCTTTCAGCATTATATTTTCACCTGACAGAGGCAGGCTCTTACAGTTATCTGGAGATGGAAATAGCCTGCAGGAGTGAGGTACTGATACAAAAAATGTTCATTTGTGGTGGTTCTAAGTAAGGAGAGGTAGGGTGTGGGGAGGCCAGATAACAGGCACACAGCACAGGCAGCCAGTGACTATGCAATGTGCCAGCCCCATGTCCAACATGGGAAATTGTGCTTGTCCTTTCAGATACCTCTCAGGTCTATGGCGGCTGCTGCTGTTGAATGCCAGGTTGGCTTTGAATAAGACCTCCCTCAGTCATGATCTGACTGTGGATGAGGAGGCTGATCTGGTCTGTATCACGGAGACCTGGGTGGGTGAGCCATGTTTTAATTACTGTACAGTCGTACCTTGGTTTTTTGAACAGCTTAGTTCTTGAACGTTTTGGCTCCCAAACGTCGCCAACCTGAACAGTGACTGTTCCGGTTTTTTAACTATTATTGGATGCCGAATGTCTGATGGGCTTCTGATTGGCTGCAGGTTTTTGAACGTTTTACAAGTTGAATGGACTTCCGGAACGGATTCCGTTCGACTTCCAAGGTACGACTATTGTTTTCCCCATAAGCTCAAAAACATGCTCAAACATGCCCTTAAAAACAAATCAAAAAGTATTTTTTGTCTGTGCTGCCCTCTACAGATTTAGCTATGCTACAATCCTAAACCAACTTTTTGTGGTCTGGAAAATTTTGTGAATTGAGGCGGGATCCACAACTCTGGTTATTATTAGCCACTGTTAGCACCAACACAGACAACAATACACAATGTTTCTCTCTCTCTGAAGCTCACCTGCAACTCCTACTTGATGAGTAGCATAATGGGGTAACCTGCTGTGTCCTTCTGCTAGCCAAAGGGTGAGTGTGGCAGAATCCGATTCTGCGTGGTGGAAGGCAAAGCCTTGCTCTGCAGCCACAGCTATAAATCTGCTTTGTAGAATAGGAACATGCAGCCAGACTGCTACGTAGCCTTCTGTTCTCCATTGCCTGATAGAATCTGGGAGGAGAGAAGCACAGAAGAATATACTGATGTCTATGCTGGCCAGGTGCGGCTCGCTAGCTCTTGGAGGCTTGGATTAAGTGAGAGTCACTTGCCTCATCAAGCCCTCTATATATACAATGTCCATATACTGTATAAGGGGTAGCTATGGTTGCTTCAGTGATAAAAGAAATATGTGCACAAGCTTAAATGAATGATCTGCTGATCCGCTAAAATGAATGAACCTTTTGAATGATCCCTTGTATCTGAAAGCTAAATGCTGGCATTAATCACACTGGCTGTATTTGTACAGAGATACAAAAAAACCAGGCAATTTGGCTGCAAGATACAGTTGCTTTTCTCCTTCCTTTGTTGTGCAAGAAAACTAAATATGGATTCAATTAATTCCATTCGGACTGGGCAGGAAGCCAGGATATGAAGCTATGATTCGGATGAAACAAGGCATGGGGGGATTCTAAATCCTATATCGGCAAATCCAGGTTGCATCATCGTTATATATGACTGGACAGTGTTGCGCAACCAACAATCTGATCGCCCACCAGGAAAAAAGGAGAATAAATGAGCGAGCTTGGGTCTGCCAGGCAGCTCCTCGAGCGCCGACCCTGCAAAGACGCGCCAGTCTCCCCAGAGGCTCAGCAAAATGACTTGCCCTGCAGGCACCTCCGGAAGGTTTCTGGCTCCAGGCTCTCCGGGGAGCGCAGCTGGGACAGGCGCACGCTCAGCCCGCCAAACTTATCCCGCAGCGGCTGCAGCCCGGCCTCGGACAGGCCAGAGGCGGCGGAGTCACCTCGAAGGCGGCCACTCGAGCAAACGCGGCGCAGAGGACGAGGCTGCAAGAGCCGGCAAGCCAACGGCAAGAGCCGCCGGCCCCGCGCCGTCCACCCGGCCCCTAACATGGCGGCAGCTCCGGCGACAGCAACAAGCGAACGCCTCAGAGATAGGAAACGGGGAAAAGGCTAATGGCGTAGACTTCCGGTAGTCATGGGTAAAGCTTTGCTCGCGTCCTCCTGGAAAGCGAAGTAGGGCGGTTCGCTTTGCCTCGCCGCGTCTCTGCTGTTAAAGAGAGAGAGAGATATGGATGGATATTAAACTTTATTTAGTTATTGATTGATTGCATCTGCTGTTACAAGAGAGAGAGAGAGATGGATGATGTTAAACTGCGGTTAGGCGTGCAGTGGCAAAGTAACGTGAGAATAGCAGTGAAGCGATGAAAGCGGAGGTGAAACCACTCTAAAGCAGCAGTCCTGCACCCTCTTACCTTGAAACCGATGGGACTTAATTTTAAGTGGACACATTAAAAGGGTGCAATCATATGCATACCTAACTGGCAACAAGCCCTATTGAACTTCCGAGTTAGGCGCAGAATTGCGCTTCACGACAACTATCAGTTTAACGCTACGCGTGTTTGACTTAAAAGTGAAGTTTGACGGGACTTGCTTTCTAGTTCGTTGATCGTTGGCTAAAAACAACAGCGCCGCTTAAAATTAAAGTGAAAACCCAAATTCAGTTTGCGGCCGCAAGTGTTGGTCGCAGCTGCGGCGAGGGAGCCTTACCTTCCTCTTAGGGGACGTGGCTCAAGAGCCGGGTCTCTTTAGTCCCAAAGCAGTTCCGAATGACAATTCCGGCATGGCATCGAACTCGGTTGACAAAGCAGTCAGAGTTGCAGCGATAGAGGGACAATCTCTTCGCTCGTAGAAAAAAAGCTCAAACCACTTTGGGCGCCCCAGGCGTCAGCGAGGGTTGCTACGCCGGTGGCAGTGAGATTTGTTTGCGTGGGGTGGGGGGTATTGTTGGGTCAGGTTAGCCATATTGAGTCCTGTGCTGTGGGTGGGTTCATGTTGTAGTTGGGCTGTGTAGGATTTCTGTAACTCTATGAGATGCAAGGTAGCTTTCCTCTGAGGCGGAGTCGAGGGGCGGCGCTGAGAGGATTCAAGTCAATAGTTCCCTAAAAGATTCCCATTTGCGCATCTTAAAAGATGTGCAGATCCCTGGCACTAACTTCCTTTAAAAAAAAACAAAAAACAGCCACACATTTATTTATTTTCTGTATTTTTGTTTCAAAGCGTCTCGGGGAAAGGGACCCTTATTGTATGGGTTTTACCATTGGCGCCTATGTGCTTCCACCATTCCTACCCCGCATATGGAGGAGACCAAGGCTCGCGATCGGGTCCGGAAGTGGAAGGTTGCGCGGGGCGCCGCTCAGCCGCCTTGCAAGCACAGCTCCTCTTTGGGCGGCGCCGGCCTTCCTCGGGAGAGAAGCATCTCCGGCTCCGTTGCGCCGCCTCCCGCGTGCTCCCCTCCTGCCCGGTGCCATGTCCTCCTCCTCCAGGAGGAAAAGCAAGGGGCGGCCTCCCCACCCGGACGCCGCTTCCCCGCTTGCCTTGGGGCAGGCGGCTCCCGAGGCTCCCGGCAGGCTGAGCCTGGCTGCTGCAGAGTTCCTGAGCAAAGGTAAGGCTGGAGCCCTGAGCTAAGCGACTCAGCTGGAACCGCTTTTCCTCAGAGGCGTCGGAGTCCCGCATGTGGAGCTTGTTTAAAGCAACTGCGATTAGCCAAGCAAGCGTGGTTTGCTTGCATCCTCGATGCCCCCCTCCCTGGGAAAGTGGGACTGGCCCACGATCACTCGCTGAGCTCCATGCAAATGAACCCACCCCGTCTAGGTTCAATGCTTTCTCAGCTATGCCACACTTTCCCTCTGTCTTGCAGTTTTGTCCTCGATGCTCCTTTTCTTTAATGGGGATGCAGAACTTCCATCATTGAAGTTGAGTGAGTTGTAAATTCCTATGCCGCTCTATAGTTCCCGAAGAGGAACTTCAAAGAGCAACTCGAGTTTTGTGTTGCCTCCGACACGAGTTTATAGGGTGATTGCAAATGTGTCGGTTTAACACGCAGGAGTCTTTCTTCATTGGTATCTTGAAAACACTCCCTTCCCCCCTTTGGTGTGTGTCAGATGTGTGTGCATGGAAAAATCCACATTCCTACTCGTTATGACCTGTAAAGTCTCAATTCTGTAAAGTGGTTCAGTGGAGACAAGTGAGGGAGAGGCAGGTTGCTTATTTATTTTCCCAGATTGATGTCCTTTCCTCCAAGAATCTCAAGGCTATACTGCATGTGTTCATACAAACACAGCCAAGGTCTATTTAAAACAAACATCTGTAGCTAAATCTGAACATGTATCCAGCACAGAAATATTTAGGATGTTGTCCTAGAGTTTTTCTGGTTGCTTGCTTTAGATATTGATTCTTTGCCTAAATAAACATTTTTGCACTTTCATATCCTGTTATGGGTGATTGTGAGGGCCAATAGTGTAAACAGCTTTTGATACAAAATTAGACACAATGATTTCTGTGACAACGCAGTCTGTTACTCATAGTAATGTTTTTCTTTGGGGGTGGGGGTGGGGATAGATTTTACATGGCTAGAAATTGTTGCTTGAGCAAATGATAAATCACAGCACACATTGTTTCTTCTTTAATTTTAGCAGATGACAAAGTCCCCAAAAGTTACAGAAGATCTCTTGTGCAGCTGGCCCTCAACAACATGAAACTGGCAAATATATGCATAGGCCGACCAGTGTTGCTCACCAGTAAAAATGGAAAACAAGAGGTGATGATTCTTTTCATGCTGAATTGTTGGAGTGCGCTGGTGATGGTGGAAAAATGATTATGCTAAATCAGTGGGAAGCAATTCAAATATGTGTTGAGCCCTTCCATGGGATTTCCTGGGAGAAGGCTTGGCTCATTTCTAAGCTTTATGTGTTGAGAAAGAAATTTCTGATATTGGGGTGTGATGCTTTTAAGCAAGTGATCAATCCCTCAGAACTTATGAAGTTCTCTAGGTGTGGGCAACTTTTCGCCCCCCAGATGTTGTTGAACTTCATTTCCATGGGCTGAGCTAAGTGGGTTTCGAAGTCAGCTTGATTTTACTATTTTAACTTTCGTAAACCACTTTGAGGGTTGTTGTTGTTTATAATCAGTGTATAAATTCAAACAAACAAACCAACATCGCTGCAGCATTCTGTACCATTGCAGCTTCCAGAACAATTCCAAGGGAAACCCCACAAAGAGTAGATTACAGTAGTCCAGTCACTGCTGTTATTCATTTATTTCATATAATCTATACATTGCTACATTATTAAAAAACAACAACCTCAAAGCAGTTTACAAAAAGATAAGGCAATGCAATAAAATAAAAATGTTTGCAGTCCTACTTTCAAACCTACAGAAGCTAAAATACTGAAACATATTAAAATGACCTCAAGAATGTTTTCAGAAGGCACTGAAAAGGGTAAATTGAAGGCACCTGCTTGATCTCAATAGGCAGGGAGTTCCAAAGTTGAGGTACTGCCACACTAAACAACCAGATTATCACAAACGTGGATCACGCATTATGTGGCACGTGTAGTAGTGCCAATTCTACCAATTGACACGGAATTTGTTGTTAAACAAATAGGAGCCTATTGCAAGTTGCCAGAGATTTCTCAATAGATCCTGCCCTCTCCTGTACTAGAGGCAATAAAGGCTATGCTATTATCTCCAGGACTATGATTTCCTGGAGCTTGTGGAAAGTGATGGTACAGGGAGGAGAAGGAAGGAAGGGAAGAGATGATGGAACTCAAGTCTCTGAAGCAATTTCTTGGAAGTGTTGTGGCCTTTCTGGTGAACTGCAATTTCCCATTGCAACCAGAATGGAATCACACGGCCCTTGCATCTCCTACCCACAAGTAAGGGAAGCAGCACAGTGCTGTTTTTGCATCTTCGCAGCTTCTGGTCCAAGAGAGCCCAAATGAAACCAAAGAGAGAGAGAGAGAGACCTGGAATATATACCAAATGCTTCTCGTCTTTTCCCATGTTGCCTTTTAACAGGTGAGACCACTGGTCCATGTAGCTAAGGATGGTCTCCTTTGATTAACAGCTGCTCTCCAGGGTTTCAGATGGGACATTCCCAGTCCTATCTGGAGACACTGGGGATTGAACCTGGGACATTTTGTGAGCTATGTTCCTTGCCCCTGTTTGTCCCTCCCCTGTGCTCACTGCCCCCCACCAAAACCTGAGGGAGCAGTTTAAGATTTGCTAACTGCTGGTTCTGTGTGTTATATTTTGGATAGGTTTGTACTGCATGGCCTGTTGCCGGCTTTCCTGGTGGAAAAATTGGCTTGAGTGGAATTACACAAAAAAATCTGAAAGTGGGACTTGGCGAAACAGTCATCGTCGAGCCTGTGACTGGTGTTGTTATGCAGGCAGAGGACGTACATTTGAAGCTGAGGTATGTTGAAAATATATGCATTTTCTCCAGTCTTCCAATGGCCGAGACAGAACACACACACCCCACCCCTCCCTATGGTTTCTCCGGCTTTTGAGAGCCGCCTGGGGGGTGCATGCAGGGGGAAGGAGGAAGGGAACCCCATGACACTAGTGGAAGTCCTCTTATGAGTGTCTGCTAGTGGGACATGTGAGCTGGATCCAGCCCATTGTCTATTTTAAACTATGGTTGAATGTAGGGTTGTGAACTGTTCCAAGAGGTATTTCCCGAAGGTAGATTTGTAGAGTTGGGCATATTGATTTCATATACCTGACACGCATAGGGTGCAAGCTGACCTTGTTAATGGGCGACACAAGGGAGTTACAGGAGTTGGGATGCAGTATTTTGGTGTCACCGCTGCAAGCTTTTATCTCTCTCATGGTGGTACAGTGGTACCTCTGGATGTGAACAGGATCCGTTCCGAAGCCCCGTTTGCATCCTGAGTAGAACGTAACACACGACTGCGCGTCTGCGCATGCACGGGTCATGGTTCGCCACTTCCGCGCATGCGCGTGACATCATTTTGAGTGTCTGCGCATGCGTGAGCAGCGAAACCCAGAAGTAACACGTTCCGTTACTTCCGGGTTGCCACGGAGTGTAACCTGAAAACGCTCAACCTGAAGCATATTTAACCCGAGGTATGATTGTACTAAGGGACGCGGGTGGCGCTGTGGGTAAAAGCCTCAGTGCCTAGGGCTTGCTGATCACATGGTCGGCGGTTCGAATCCCCGCGGCGGGGTGCGCTCCCGTCGTTCGGTCCCAGCGTCTGCCAACCTAGCAGTTCGAAAGCACCCCCGGGTGCAAGTAGATAAATAGGGACCGCTTACTAGCGGGAAGGTAAACGGCGTTTCCGTGTGCTGCGCTGGCTCGCCAGATGCAGCTTGTCACGCTGGCCACGTGACCCGGAAGTGTCTGCGGACAGCGCTGGCTCCCGGCCTCTTAAGTGAGATGAGCGCACAACCCTAGAGTCTGTCAAGACTGGCCCATACGGGCAGGGGTACCTTTACCTTTACCTTTATGACTGTACTGCATTTCTGACAGCACCAAATCCTATCACACAGTCAGAATGCAGGAAGTTGAACCCATCCTATATTATATGTTAGGAACCAGCATTTCCCATGTTATGCAAAAGAGAGATCAATATAACTACCTTTTTTTAATACTGTATAACGGAAACAGAAATTTTACTTAGGCTGCAGTCCTCTGCTCACTGACCTGGGAGCAAGTCACAGTAAAGTCAGTGAGACTTTCTTTTGAGTAGACATGTGTATGAGTGTATTGTTAGTTTCTTATGCTAGGCTACACATGGTTGTTCTTGAATTACACTTGCTTTAGCAATAACTTTCTATTCATCATTACAGATAGGTAGCCGTGTTGGTCTGCCATAGTCAAAACAAAAAAAATTCCTTCCAGTAGCACCTTGTGTGTATCTGAAGAAGTGTGCATGCACACGAAAGCTCATACCAAGAACTAACTTAATTGGTCTTTAAGGTGCTACTGGAAGGAATTTTTTTTGTTTTTTCTATTCATCGGTTATTATTGATGTGGGTAATATAGTGCCATGTTGTAATTTTCCCACACGTTTCCAGGAGCGAAGATGCTTGCCTTAATGTGGACGAGTTGACTGCCAGTCTCCTAAGAAATCTAGGTATGGGTTTTAATATATTGGTTCTTGGTGTATTATGCCCTTCTAATCACCTTTTCTTTCTTTCTTTCTTTCTTTCTTTCTTTCTTTCTTTCTTTCTTTCTTTCTCTTTGGAATGCTAAATGATACATTCTGTGCTAAAGTTTATAATTGTAAAAACTGACAGAAAATACTGCATTTCCTTTCTTCTCCCATATTGTCACCCAGCATGTGAAAAGTTCTGTAGGTAAGGATTGAGTCTTCAAATAGTCAATACATGACTCTGGTTTAATGGTAGTAGAAAGAATGGGAGAATTCAGAGGATTTGAAACTTCACACTTCAGCCACACCATTGCCTATATTTCAAATCCCTTTATTCCTCCACCTTCCTTTATTTTTCCATTTCCTAATTTTTTTAAAAAAGCTTTTATTTATTGAGAATAAGAAAAATAGCAAGGGAATATACAATTAAAAAACAATATTATCATCATTCCATCTGATAGCCACATGCATAACACTGTGAGAAGGCAAAACTAATATACAGAAATAAATTACACATATTGCACCAAAGGTAAGACATTGTGTTTGATCTAGACCTATGGGAGGAACTCTGTCCACTATACAACCTTGGTTCAGGGGGGCAGCTTTTACCAATTTCCTCATGTGGCACCTGAAAAGCTCTTCTGGAAGGCCGGGAATCTTATAGAACAGAGTGGAAGGCAGTGCTGGTGGGAAGGTGGAATGAGGGAAAATAAGGTTTTCCTCCAGCGGGAGTCTCTCCTGAATTTCTGTCGCACAACTGGAATGAAGCATTTATTTACACTGTATCTTTTAAACACGAACTGCTGGAAAAAAATGGTGATGTTTTTAAGATCTCCTGTTTTGTTTCTTATAGATGGAAAGGTGGTTTTACCAGGAAACCTCCTGCAAATCACTTTCTATGGCCGATTTTGCAACCTGATGGTTACAAAGGTGAAAGGAACAGACGGGGTTCTGCGGGAAATGGAGGACAGTCCCGTTTCGATGCTAGAACAGAAACTGTCACTTGATACCAGTGATTTTGACTTATCTGTGCAACTTGATAAACTGCTCATTGAAGATAGTCGAGAAGGAACATCTACCAGCACTCCATGCAAGCAGGTGGATCACAGTTTATCCATTAATGCCTCCATAGATACCATGGTGTGTGAGGAAGAGATTTCTGGTTCAACAGAGATGCAGTTATTTGGTGACGTTGCAGCCTCCACTCCTGTACCTGAAACTACCAAGTTAAAAGGTGGCGAGGCCTGCATTCCCTCTGAAGGGTTACTGCAGGCTAGTCAAATAGGAGCATCATTGAGCTCTGAGCCATTTTACTTCATATCTTCAAGGACTAGGATATGTTTCGTTGAATCTCGAACTAAAGAAAGAGAAGAATGTAATCTGGAACCGAAGGTTACTTACAGTTCTATAGGTGGACTCGATCACCAGCTAAAAACCATAAGAGAAATGATTGAACTTCCCCTGAAGCAGCCTGGCCTGTTTAGAAGTTATGGTAGGATAGATGTGAATTAGATGCCTTGTTAACAACTTGTTATTAAATATTTGCATATCTTTCCCCTGCAAAGAGCAGCGTTCTTTCTGCCCTGATGATAGATCTTTCCTGCTGCCTATAACTGATTTTACTTGCTGTTCTGTTATACCTTTTCAGGCATGTTAGGTAATGGAATAATCTGTTCAAGGTTTTGCAGAGTGGCTTAAGAATGTGGTGTGTGTGTGTGGATGGCAATGCATTTTGTTCTAATAATTAATGTGTTTTAGCATCTTTATTTTGTAAAATCAGGATTGCAGTTCACTTTCTATTACATTTTTATTGTGTTTCAGTGGGCTTTAGTAATTAACACTATCTTTAAACTATACTTAGTATCTTAAAGAAAAAATAATTAATCTGTATTGTACAGTGTTGTAAGGTAACATTGATATGTAGGCTGTAAGTACTACGGTTGTGCCCAGCACTGGAAGTAAATAAAACTTACTTCTGAGTAGGCAGAGTTAGGACTGCACTGTCAATATCAGTAGAAGAATTAAATATGTGCCTGGCCCGTTGAAAATCCATGGGACTCCAGTATGAACTTTGGCTGGATTCTGTTGGAAGCTTGTAAGGTTTCAGAACATTTGCAATGCAATCCTGTGTCCCTGTTCTCTTGGAAGCCTGTCTCATTGAGTTCAACGGGTATCACTGTCAAGTAAGTGTGCATAGGATTGTAGCTGTGTTGTAGCAATTTTATTCCTGTTTAAGTCTCACTGTGTGCTGTAGCACTTACTCCCTAGCAGCTGGGATAGCTCAGTTGGTAGAGCAGGAGACTCTTAATCTCAGGGTTATGGGTTTGAGCCCCACATTGGGCAAAATATTCCTGCCTTGCAGGGGGTTGGACTAGATGACCCTCATGGTCCCCAACTCTACAAATTCTATGTTTCTATGAACTGTCTTTTCGACTTCAGCCCTAGCACCCTAACCTTGCTTTTAGAAGTACTGTGTTGCCAATACAGTGGATCCTCCGGATACAAATTAAGTTCGTTCCAGGGGTCCGACCGCAATCCGAAAAGTCTGTAGGCAGAGGCGCCACTCCTGCGCATGCGCACGGTGTGATTGAGCGCTTCTGCGCATGTGCATGTGGCGAAACTCAGAAGTATACACTTTCAGGTTTGCCACATTCATAACCCGAAAGTTATGTATCCAGAGCGGCATGTAACTAAAGGGTCCACTGTACTGGAAAGAGTAAGATAGCAGATTTGATATCTTAAAGGGTTTTTAAAGGTTGAGGCAGACCTGCTTTTTAATGACATCGTTTTCAAAAGGCTCAAATGTACAGCTGTTGTTTAAAATTGTTCATAGAAATGTGCCGTTGATATACGTACTTGGAAATATTGCAGGTGTGGGAGATCTCCTTGCAAAATAATAATAATAATAATAATAATAATAATAATAATAATAATAATAAAATTTATTTATACCCCGCCCTCCCCAGCCGAAGCTGGGCTCAGGGCGGCTAACAACAATCAAAATAATCCAACATTCCAAAAACCTTTCATTATAAAAATTAATTAAAATCAAATTGATGGCAGCCATTAAGCACAATTCTGTGCAGATTGCACCCAAAAAGTTGCAAGATGCTAGTGTCTTCATATACAGTTAATGGTATTTTTCAGAATCATTTGTATTTGTCACTACAGGAGTAGTTGCATTATTATCATTATCATTATTAATTTTAAAATCTCTGCCAGTCCATGAAATGTGATCTCTTCCTCTTCTATCTGACTCGTTAAAGGAATCCCACCTCCTCGAGGGGTGCTGCTCTATGGTCCTCCAGGAACAGGGAAGACCCTGATAGCCAAAGCAATTGCAAATGAGGTTGGGGCTCACGTCTCCACCATTAACGGCCCAGAAATAATAAGCAAGTAAGTCTTCCTAATTTATTTATCTTTGCTTTGCTTTTTCCTGCCCTCCAGCTACAGTTGCTGTTTTGTACCTGCTTAAAACAAAACAAAGACCCACTTTAGAGCGGCAGTATTTTTTGGAAAATAAGTCACTTCTGCATCCGTCAAGAGAAGTGAAGGAATGATTGATGATCTGTTTATATGAAACCGTTTATACAGCGTTTAAGTATATGTGCCCATGGGGAGAACTGCGTGAATAAAATGCCCAGGTTTTTGTAAACAGACCAAAATAAGCTGCTAAATGGTTTTTGATTTTGTTGCAGGTTTTACGGTGAAAGTGAAGCCAAGTTGCGACAGATATTTGCCGAAGCCTCCTCACGGTATGCTTGTGCTCTTTGGGGGACTTTTTTTTTATTCTAAATGGTTCAGTTTGTTAGCTTCCAAGCCCAGGACATGAGATTCCTGGTTCGAGCCCCAGAGTCTCTGTTACAGCCTGTGAATTCTTAGAGGCTTGTGAAATTTTGTCTGGTGACCAGGGCCGGAGGTGAAAGCAGAACAAAGCTTCTGAATGTTACCTTTGTGCGCTAGGCGGATTTCTGCATACTCTCACACCCCACTCTCCAGGCAATGAAGAGGCATTATCAGAGTTCAAGAACACATTCCAGCCAGGCAGAAACACTCAAGGAGGGTTCAAAGTAAGGCTGATTAGGGGCATGGGCTAAGGAGAGAGGAAGTGTGACCAGAAGAAGGACCATATCCCAGGGGCCAGATAGAGAGTCACAGAGGGCCACATTTGCCACACACGCTGGGCCTGAAGTTCCCCACTATTGTTGCATAGGACTATGTGCTAGATGAGTTAAAAATACCTGAAGCCGCTGTTTTTATTGGAAAATCAATAAAAATGATTTTAAAATAAATAAATACCTGAAGCCTCTTTGTTCAGGTGTTAAGCAACGCCTCAGACTATTTTTAGACCAGAATTGAATTTGCAGGTATCTCTGTATTTATGAAGTTTACACAACAATCCTGTACGTATCTACTTGGAAGTCATCCCATGAAAAAAATGGGTATTGCATCTGCATAACTCTGTTTAATATTGTGGGTTATGAGAGCTGGTGTACCATAGTGGCTAGGAGACTGAGCTACAGTCCAAGAAATCACCCACTTGAATTTTGCTAGGAACTTAATTTGGTAGCTTTAGTCAAGCCACTCTTTCTTGGCTTCAGTCCTACCACCTTCAGTCTAAGGATGATAATACTCAACTTCCAGGGCTGTTATAAGAATACGTGAAGTGCTTTGAACACTCAAATGCACTATAAAAATGGATTTTAGGTATACCGTCTCTGTACAGCCATCATGACTAATAGATGTTGATAAATCCTTCTGATAAAAGGGCTAAGAACTTCAAAGCTGAACAAAAGACTTTTCATCCAATTCATTTGGAACTTATTGGCTTGTTTTTATTACACATATGCTGATAAATAAAACTTGGCATTTTACAAGCATTTATTAGTTTGGAAAAAAATATAGACTACTTAATCAAAAGTGTCAAAAGTACTTTAAATTAAGTCATTTAATTAACTAAATTAAATTCTATTAGCTGTTGGTTCTTTTGCTTCAAATCATTTTGTCCCATGTGTGGTTTGACTCTATGCTAGAATTCTGGCCTATTATCAGGTAAGATTTCTGCCCTGTATTTTGATTATTAGGTTTTCTCATTAGGTCATAAGAAAAGTCTGAGCCTTTGACATTTGAATAATCTTGTCTCAAATTATTTACCTGTTGCATTTTAGCTTGGATTGTTTAGATGTGGGAGCTGAGAGTTGGTAGTTAAGAGTGCTGAGAGTTCTCCTCAAAGAGCTACAATTCTCAGAATTCCCTGGGAAGAGGGACTGATGGTTAAACCACTCTGGCAGTTGTGGCTCTGGGAAGCAAATTGGGGTTCTCCTAACAACACTTGGGACTCAAAATGAACTGCAGTTCCCATATTTCCTTTGGGAGAAGCCACCTTTTGGGGGAAACTGTATACATGTTTTCCCCTCATACTTCAGGATATTTTGGGCTGTGCCATGAGATAAACTTCGCTTCAGTTCTTTGCCCCATTTGTGGGGGGGGGGGTCATGAAATGTTACGAAACATTTCATATGGCTAGAGGCGTGTCATGATTTGGTATTCTAACTAGCCGATGCAGAATTTCAATAACCATTTCAGTGCTTTAAAGGGAGTGAGTTGATGAGATCTATCTGGCTGTGTCTTCCTAATGTGCCTGTTTCAAGAGACGTGTTGCTTTCCATTATTTCCTTTTCAGCCGCCCATCCATTATATTTATTGATGAAATCGATGCACTCTGCCCAAAAAGAGAAGGGGCACAGAATGAAGTTGAGAAAAGAATTGTGGCATCCTTATTGACACTGATGGATGGCATTGGATCAGTAAGTAAACTACGATGGAGTTGCTGGCTCTGGGGTGGGCATGAAAAAATGGTTGTGTTCATACAACTTACCTACCTGTGGAATTCTTTGGCGATGAGTTGGTAAATTTACATATTACAAAAATAAAGCCTCTTTTCACTGGGACTGGGCTCATAAATCTTATGTGTCCTCATCTCTAATTATTATAAGGTAATGGTATTCTGTAAATAGTGTGAAAAGCACTTCATAGTTCCAGGATAGTATGCATTGAATTTCAGCCTTAGCCCGAAAGCTAAGTCTCATGGCTGAGTAGAGAGATAAACCTCAATCTCCAATCCCAAAGCACAGTGCTTTTGATTATACCGCATTGTTCCTGAATTACAGTGAACCTGTTTTGTGTTGGTCATTCAGGAAGGCAATGAAGGGCAACTCTTAGTACTTGGGGCCACTAATCGCCCCCACGCTCTGGATTCAGCCCTACGCAGACCTGGCCGCTTTGATAAGGAGATAGAAATTGGGGTTCCCAATGCTCAGGACCGACTGGACATTTTCAAGAAGCTTCTGAACAAGGTTCCTCATTCACTGACGGCAACAGAGCTGGTTCAGTTGGCTGACAGCACCCATGGATATGTAGGAGCAGACCTAGCTGCAGTCTGCAAAGAAGCAGGTGAGCTATAAACACTTTTATATCAAATAATTAGCTGAATGAGTGTGTAGTTCTTGTCAGTGAAGACAAATTTTAATAAGCAAGGCTGAAGAAGGAACGGTTGGTTGTTCATTATTCAGTTTGTTGAGGTCATTTTGATTGTGTTTACTGTACAGTGGAACCTCGGGTTACGGACACTTCAGGTTATAGTCGCTTCAGGTTACAGACTCCGCTAACCCAGAAATAGTACCTCGGGTTAAGAACTTTGCTTCAGGATGAAAACAGAAATCGCAGGGCGGCAGCAGGAGGCCCCATTAGCTAAAGTGGTACCTCAGGTTAAGAACAGTTTCAGGTTAAGAACGGACCTCCAGAACGAATTAAGTTCTTAACCTGAGGTACCACTGTACTGTAATAGTCAGTGAAAAATAATACTATACATTAAATATTACCTTTCCTTTTAAACTTTTAAACTTCGTTCAGTTGTGCATTTGCTCATGCTTCCTTAATATTGCAAAAAAGACATTTGTTGTCTGGTTTTTGTGACATGCAAATGTATTTAAATTTAACTGATTGTTTAAACAGCAGATCATCTATAAAAAACAACAACAACAGTTGACAACCTTCTTAACATTTGAATTCTGTTTAATGGACATTTAATTCACGTGACTTTTCTGAACATGGTGTTTTGTGTCCAACAGACTGCTAGTGTAAATCCTCTAACCCTCTGGTACAAATAAAAAAATAGGTGTGGATATATTTATTTTGGACAATACAGTACTATGCTGATTTGAAGAGTATGTAAGCTTATAGATTACTGAATCAGAAAATTAGGAGTAAGTCGCATTGAGCTCAGTGGAACTGACTTCAGATTGAATGTGCATAAGATTCCACTGCTTATTTTGTGTAAAGTTAACAGTATTTTATCACAAATGGCAATAACTTCAATAATTTCAGTGGCATATTTGCAAAGCTTTGGTATTAAAAAGTGAGCCCTTCTCTTGTGAGTTTTCTTCATCAATTGTTATACTAGGGTGACATCTAGTGGTGGAATAATGGTTTCAACCAATCTAAACACATCCACTAGCTGAAAGAAATTGCTTACAACTCTATGAACAGAATATTTAGATTTAAGAGTCTAAAATAATAAAGAACCTGAAATAATTGCATGTATAGCTTGCTTCACTGTTTTGTAAACCTAGACTATTAGTGTATTCTGTTATAAAATACGAAGTCTCCTGCCATTTTTTTTAAAAAATACAGATGGTAAAGTTTCTTAATAGAGCTTGTTGTAGAATGTTTTTTTCAAGAAGGTGTTCTTCCTTCAAAAGCCAGTTTAGTCATTGGATAGATTTGTCCAGATTTGCTTTATAAAATAGAATTTATGGAGCAAAGCATCATTGTCTGCATAACTAGGCGGTGATATATCTCATGATAATGTTTAAAAACAAACATTTTTTCCCTTTAAATAAAATGAGCTTCCTTCTATACAAAACCCTTCTCACCATTTGTATCCATAAGATTGATAAGAGCTGTTATATATACTACTGCAGTGGTTTTGTATCCAGGTATAATTTTTGTTGATGCTCCCTTACTTGGCCTTTCGGGACAGGAATATCTCACTTTCACTTAATTGCATTTTTTCTGATTTCGTACAGAAATTTCTGATTTCCCCCCCTTGAATTCCTGTAAAAGGCAAGACTACAGTAAACCATACTCAAATAAAATCTTTTACTGAAAGATAACTTGTGCATTGCAAGGTAACATACTGTCAAAGAAGACATTTCACTTTCCTCTGCCTCTTCTACCTTATTCCCTCTGGGAAACTCAATTTTCTGGGTCCTTTACGGGAAGCATGTCTCACCATAAATAGCGTATTGTCTTCTCCCAAAGCATATCTCTGAGCTCTGAACGCCTTTGAGTACAATCTTTTGTTGAAAGGCAAGTACCGTATTGACCATACAATATAGCTTTTTGTTATGCGGGGGGGAACTCGAGGACAAGTTATGGGAGCCAGCGCGGCTCCCGCTGCCAGTCCGAATTCCAAAAGATGGCTGAGATGATACCCTCTCACTCTCCAGCTTCATGAAGGGCACCATGACGCTTCCCTTCATCGTCTAGGCAAAGTATTCCAAAAGAATTGCAGATGATACCCTTACCCTAAAAAGAATGCTTGCTTGCCTTTCCTTAAGCTTGGTCGTTTCTTCTTTTTAAATGATGTGTATTCCACAACACTTTTAATTGGGTTGGGGGGGGAGAGAGAGAGACAAGTATAACTTACCAGTACTATGCATTGTGGGAAAATATTCTTGGAATTAATTGTTTCCTAGCTTTCCACTGTTTCCTGTTTTGAACTTGTTCTGAACAGTTACTGGGTTGGAATATTTTCAGAATGCTCTGATTTCTCCTGTCTAAACAGTTGCTACTACTATGTGGTAATATGTCTCTGCTCTCCTTAGGAAGCGGTACCCAACACGGTGCCCTCTAGATGTTATTGGGCTACAACTCCCTTCATCACTGACCACTGGCCATTCTGGTAGAAGCTGATGAGAGTTTTATTTCTCTAAATGTTTATAATGCTACAAAGGGAGACCTCCGCTGTATTTCAAAAACAGCATAACAAATGGCATGTTAGCTGGGCAATGAGGATATAAGTGGAATAAACAGTGTTGAATGTTTTAAAGTGCCTAGCAACACAGGCTTCCAAATATAGCAATTCCTTATAAATTTATCCTTCTAAGGCTGCCTGTAAGTTTCAGGCAGGATTGATTATGAATGTAAATTTATTTTTCAGGAACTGAGAAGGGTCATCTTGTTTACAGTGAATGGGAATGCTGGCTTGAAAAATGCTAGCGCTTATCTTAAAAGATATTGTTGGCTACACTGTGCTGACTTCTTAAAAAGTTACAGACTCAAGTACTGAAAGGAATTGCGCATGATTTAAACACTGAGGTTGCAGCTGGGTATGGAAGATGCTCCATCACAATGACGTGCTGAGAATTGCTTTTGTTCTGTGGTACATCTGCAAAGTTCGGGTTGGTTTTTCCCTTTGACTGCCCTCTCCAGGGACTTCCCTTTGTATGCTAGTCCATGTCTGCACATGTTCCATGTGTGCACATTTGTGGATGTTTGTCCCCTTACAGAACTGCTGAACTGTCCTTTAACCTCCCCAGAGTTCAAAAATCAGTTTGGGCTTGAGAGCTGGACAAACTCAAGTGGCAGGGGGACAAGTTGTGCTATCTGCTGCTAAACAATATATGTTACCTTAATAACAACTACTACTACTACTACTACAACTACAGTGGTACCTCAGGTTAAGTACTTAATTCGTTCCGGAGGTCTGTACTTAACCTGAAACTGTTTTTAACCTGAAGCACCTCTTTAGCTAATGGGTCCTCCTGCTGCTGCCGTGCCGCTGGAGCCCGATTTCTGTTCTTATCCTGAAGCAAAGTTCTTAACCTGAAGCACTATTTCTGGGTTAGCGGATTGTGTAACCTGAAGCGTATGTAACCTGAAGCGTATGTAACCCGAGGTACCACTGTACTACTACTACTACTACTACTACCACTAACTAAAGAAAACGGAAATCAAGGGCTGGATCTACACTGACCTATTTAGCATTAATTGAACGATAGTACATATGTCGTTCTGAAATGTCACAGGGCATGCTTGTAAATTAAAGCGTTTTTTATCCTGTTTTATCCCTATCAAAATGCTGTTTCCCTGCTGCTGGTTGCTTTGCAGCGCCATCTGGTGTCACATTTTAATGATGTATCATGAACGTTAAAACTAGGATGTTATGTGTCCATATATGTTATCAAAACCATTCCTTATCCTCTCTTAATGTTAAAAACCATGAGTGTAGATCCACCCAAGTTTAAAATCCTAGGCAGTCCCATTGAGCTTTGTAGGTCTTAACTTCTAAGTAAACAAGCACAAAACAAATTTTAGACCCCTGAAAGTAAGTAAGTATTGCTAGAAACTGCCAAGTTGTTTCTAGGCAATTACTTGGCATGGGCTTAAAAGATGATTTTTTTGTCCTTCATGATGTTTTATAAATCTTCATCCTGGCTGCAAGGAACATGAGTGCTTGTATAACTTGCAAATAAAACCACAAGCATAGAAATGACTTCTACAAATTATTGGTAGCTTGTTCACAATCTGGCAAAGACCTGTTAAATCTTGAAATTGAAGTGAACAATCGACTTTTCTCTCTCTCCTAGGAGGTAACATCCTGATACAGCACTGCCTGTGTGTCCACATGCAAGGCATAATGGCTTTTGTTGACCAAAGCTGTAACATATGCTTGTGGGTTATTTTTAAGAACATCGGTTTGGAGTAATTGCTTTTATGTAGAAGTAGTTACATCTGGATGTTGATGCTTGAGGGAACATGTGTAAAACAAGATGGAACATGCTGATCTTCTACTTGCATCCAGAAACAATCCCCCCAGCCCTTTCTTAAATGGACACTGTGATGGAACGAAGAGAAGTCAAACTTGGGCTGCGATCCTAAATATACTTTCTCGTCAATATAAGCTCCACAGTGGAACTCTTGTCTTCCCATTTCATTCATTTGTTCCACATATGTTTTCAAATGTTGTATTAATTAGACTCACACACATCTAATTATATATTTTGAGTCATGTTTGCTTGAATCTTGGCTGATAACTTCTTTTTCCTCTTCATATCTGCCCCTGTCAGTTAGCTTTCTGTGAGAAGCGCTTTGTACTGTTCTTCTGAAACTCCTGAAGGCCAGCTGGTCGTCTGGCATTTCAGAAGTGCTGCAGAAGGGGACTTTTGACAGTTATCAGTTACCTGATGGTGTTATGATGTCAGGTGATTGACAGGTTGTCAAAATCGGCCTGTGGGGAATGCTGGCCTTTTATAAGAACACTTTCCATCATAATTACAAACCCACTGAATGAGAAAATTGCACTTTTATATATTCTCTAAGTCTAAATCTATATTTTATTTAGGTTAACTTTTAGAACTAGTGTTCTGTTAATGAATTGGTTCTTCTCA